CCTTAATCCTTCCTGAGATATTATTTCAGAATATGAACAATAAAGGGCCCATGTCTTTGGAACAGGAGCTTTGGTGATAAAATCTGAATACGCAAAATCCACCATCATTTTATATGAGCATTTCAACCATTATACATTAGCAGACATGACAACATAGCGTCACAAGAGATACATGCCCTGTCTCTAGAAAGTCAATTAGAAGACAAAAGAACAAAAAGTTTCTTTGAAATACAAAGAAAATCTGGAGCAAGATGACAGACTATGAGGTCCTCTACTCATATCCTCCTGCAACAACAATAATTTGGCAGCCACGCATGGAGGAAAGTTTCTCTGTGGCAGCTTTGGGATTCAGAGGGGACAATGAAGCAGGGAGTGGCTACTTCCCCAACTAGGGATGGGGCATTCAAGATTCGGAAGATGAAAGAGGGGCTTTGCAGAAAACTGTGGCAAGCAAAAGCTAGGCTGAAGAGAGATGGGATAATAAATGTCTCCGGCTGATAGAATATATTCCTGCAAAGGGCAGCAAAGAGGAGAGTTGCCTTTTCATCTCCCAAAGAGAAAACATCCGAGGCCATGGTAGAATCAGGTGGGTCCTGCCTGCCCTTAGATGAATAAGGCCATAAGAATGATACTGCTTCCTAAGGTATCCACAAAACTAAAAAGGAGCTCCGTCAAAATGAGAGAAGATAAAACCATGTTGGCTGAATTGCAGCCCTGGAAAATTTAATGAACCTGTGTTTTTTTTGTTTTTTTTTACATTTTTACCTACAACACACAGTTAGCATTTGCTAATTTCTAACTACATGCCAAGTTTTATACACACATATGTATAAGTGTATGTATGTATGTGCATTTGTGTCTGTGTTTATACCCTCTAATCCTCAAATCATTGCAACAACCCAGCCAGATAATAGCAGTGTAGTATTCTCAGTTTATTAATGAAGAAACTAAGAATTGAGGAGGTTAAGTGACTTGCCCAGGGCCACACAGCTGTAAGTGACTCAAAGTCCCTCTGACTCTCTACTTCGCCACGGTGTAGAAATGAAGATTCCTATCTCCAAAAGACATGAAGGGTCAATTCCTCAAGAATTACATATATACCAGTTTATGCTAAAGATCAACTGCTTAATGGAGGGACTACCTGGTTAATATGAGTGAGACTTCATAATTTTAACTGATATAGGAATATGGTTGATCGGTAAACAATTTTTAGAAGTTTCACTGTATTTCATGACTGAGAGTTAGGTGCAGTTTATTTAGTCTTACTGCCAACATAATTTTATATGGTAATTTTTTTTACTTGTACAAATTAATTGGCTACATGTGTTATTTTGTTACATGCATCAGTTGCATAGCGATCAAGTCAGTGCTTTTCGGGTGTCCATGACACAAATAACATGCATTGTACCTATTAAGTAATTTCTCATCATCCACCTTCTTCCCCCTAGTGGCATTAACTGCATCTGCTACCTGGAACTAATGGATATGGAATTTGATCTTTTCCATGATCACACATTGTCCCCAGGAGCAAAGAAATGCAAATTTGAGAAACACAGGCCTTTGACCTCAAACCAAAAGAGAGGACATAAAAAGAGAGAATATTGAAAAGCCATCATGGCCAGGCATGGTGGCTCACGCCTGTGATCCTAGCACTCTGGGAGGCTGAGGTGGGTGGATCACTCAAGCTCAGGAGTTCGAGACCCGCCTGAGCAAGAGCAAGACCCCCGTCTCTAATAAAAATAGAAAGAAATTATCTGGACAACTAAAAATATATATATAAAAATTAGCCAGGCATGATGGCGCATGCCTGTAGTCCCAGCTACTCGGGAGGCTGAGGCAGAAGGATCGCTTGAGCCCAGGAGTCTGAGGTTGCTGTGAGCTAGGCTGACGCCA